GCGAGAGGGCCTCGCCCCCCCCCCCCCCCCCCAAAAGGCCTTGAATGCACGGGCTCGTCCCCCTGTCCCCAATCCCTGCCACCCCGATGGGAGCCCCTTTGCCACCGCTCAGCCTCGTGCTTTGAGCACCTTCAGGGGCACCCGGGGCTCAGGGCTGGCCCCAACGTTGCTGTCCATGGCCCGGGCATATTCTCTGCTCTTCCCCCAGTGCAGGGACTGCGGTGCCCTGTGCCTGCCCAGGTTTTGGGGTGCTAGGCCAGTGCATAGCCTGTGTGGTGCTCCCCCCGCCTGCCCCTCTGCAGGGATGCTGGCCCCCGGCTGGCGGCTGGGCTCGGGGCTGGGAAGGTGGCGGGTTGTGATCAGCTTGCGTCACTTGCAACCATTTTTGTATAAATTAATAAAGGAAAACACTGGAAAAAAAACCAAAACAAACCCAGCCAGGATGGGGTGACCTCATTTGTCCTTCATGGGAGAGGGAAAATGGGGGGCAGGGAGGGACGGGGCTGCAGCGATCGCGGCTCTGAGTGTTGCTCGCTGCTGGGTTGCACAGCCCCGCTGGCCCCAGTGCAGAGCCTGAGGGTGCACGGGGTGCTGCGGGTCTGCATGGGGTGCTGCGGGTCTGCGTGGGGTGCTGCGGGATGCAGGGTGCTGTGGGTGTGCACGGGGCTGCACATCTGTGTGGGGTGCTGCAAGTGTGCAGGGTGTTGCACGTTTGCGTGGGGTGCTGCAGGATGCAGGGTGCTGTGGGTGTGCAGGGTGTTGCACATCTGTGTGGAGTGCTGCAGCGTGCAGGGTGCTGCGGGTGTGCACGGGGCTGCATGTCTGCACGGGGTGCTGCAGGGGGCTGCATGTGTGCACAGGGCTGCACGACTGCATGGGGCACTGTGGGTGTGCAGGGTGCTACGGGTGTGCAGGGTGTTGCACATCTATGTGGGGTGCAGCAGCGTGCAGGGTGCTGTGGGTGTGCACGGGGCTGTACATCTGCATGGGGTGCTGCAAGTGTGCAGGGTGTTGCACATTTGCGTGGGGTGCTGCAGGATGCAGGGTGCTGTGAGCGTGCACGGGGCTGCACATCTGCATGGGGTGCTGCGAGTATGCAGGGTGTTGCATGTCTGCGTGGGGTGCTGCAGGATGCAGGGTGCTGTGAGCGTGCACGGGGCTGCACGTCTGCGTGGGGTGCTGTGAGTGTGCGGGGTGCTGAGGATGTGCACGGGGCTGCACGTCTGCATGGGGTGCTGCAGGATGCAGGGTGCTGCAGGTGTGCACGGGGCTGCACGTCTGCGTGGGGTGCTGTGAGTGTGCGGGGTGCTGAGGATGTGCACGGGGCTGCACGTCTGCATGGGGTGCTGCAGGATGCAGGGTGCTGCAGGTGTGCATGGGGCTGCACGTCTGCGTGGGGTGCTGCAGGACACAGGGTGCTGTGGGTGTGCATGAGCGCTGGGGGGGATGTGCGGGGCCGTGACGGCCGCGTCGCCGTGGGTGTGCGTGGGCATTGCGGGTGTGCTCGCTGCTCTGGGTGCGCGTGGTGCTGCGGGTGTTCGTGGGGTTCTGCACACGCCCAATTCCTGGGGTGCCTCATGCCCAGTGGGTCCCCATTGCAGGGACCCCCGCAAGCAGAGCCAGGGCTGTGTCTCCAGACCAGACACCCCGAGGGCTTTGGGTGTGCAGGTCCTCACTAGGCTTGGAGGAGACCCTGAAATCCTGGGCTTGGAAAGACCCGGGAGCTCCGAGGCCAGCAGAGCAAGATCCCACCCGTGCCAGGAGAACGTGGAATTTCTGTGTAATTACAGCAAATTAGAAAACAGTGAATGCCACAAAGCGGTAGCGTGCTGGGATGGAGCAATTAGCTCAGGCACTGAGCACATGGAGGGTGAAGAAATGGGCTTGAGGGGGTGCGGGGCACCCAC